TTGCCTTGGGAGACCCTACCAGGGACATATAGCCCCCGACAACATAGCTCCTAGGATCACTCAGGTACTCAAACCCCTCCACCACAATAAGGTGGCGGTTCAGGTTGGTGGAGAGTTCCTGCCTCAAGTGGAGGAGTTCAAGTATCTTGGGGTCTTGTTCACGAGTGAGGGATGGATGGAACGGGAGATTGACAGGCGGATCGGTGCAGCTTCTGTAGCGATGCGGTCGATGTACCGATCCGTCGTGGTGAAGAAGGAGCTGAGCTATAAGGCGAAGCTCTCGATTTACTGGTCAATCTACGTTCCGACTCTCACCTATGGTCATGAACTTTGGGTCATGACTGAAAGGGCAAGATCCCGGATACAGGTGGCCGAAATGAGCTTTCTCCGCAGGGCGGCCGGGCGCACCCTTAGAGATAGGGTGAGGAGCTCGGTCACCCGGGAGGAGCTCAGAGTAGAACCGCTGCTCCTCCACATCGAGAGGAGCCAGCTGAGGTGGCTCGGGCATCTCTTTCGGATGCCTCCTGGGCGCCTTCCTAGGAAGGTGTTCCAGGCATGTCCCACCGGGAGGAGGCCCCGGGGAAGGACACGCTGGAGTCCCAGGTGCTTTCCATTGAAAAGAAGAATGGGGTGGTTGTGTGCTGCTCTTTGTCAAAGGTGGGAAAGTTAAGCAAGTGGGCACTTGCCAAACGTTTTCCCCTGGTAAAACCAAAACATGGCGTTAAAAAACACTTCAGTTAAAAGTATAATTCTCCCTCTGTGCATCTTGTCCAAGTCTGTTTTAGGAAAGGTCTCACTATTATCCCTCATGGCCACTGAACAATGAGAAAAAACACCCACTACAATTGCTGTTCTGATCTGATTAACCATAATTCAGTGCGTGTTTTCATCCACTCCAACCCTCAAAGCACACTAATGAGTCACTATAGCTTGGTGGACCAGAAAAAGGCAAAGAGACCACATTCAAAAACCAAACTACATAGGATGGTAGACTGAATGATCATGCTCAGAATCCCAAGAAAATATGATGCGTCTGTCTGGAGGCCGATAGATCTCAGTCGTGAGTTTCCCCATGAAACTAGAGGACACCCCACCCCCCCTCCCCGGTCATTTGCATGCAATATGTGGATTAGGGAAGTGAGTGCTCATACCTTTACGACTCCATCATATCCTGGAATAACGTTGACCTTAGCAGCCTGAGCGATCAGCTTGCTCTCAATTTTATCCCCCATTGCCTGGATAGCATGTGTATCTGGGCCAATGAATGATATGCCCTCCGCTGCCTAGCAACAAAGCAATAACAATACCATGAGATTCACCATATCAGACTTATATCACAGATGGATCTGAGAGCTCAAGGCCTACCACACTGCCAGGCAGGCTCCACTAGCCTCACAACTGAGTGTTTGGATTTATTATTTACCTCCACCAAGGAAGTTATGTTTTTGGTTCCATATGTGTGTGTGTGTGTGTTTGTTGGTTAGCAGGATTAGACAAACACACACAGACACTTATGGATCATCAGCATACATGGTACAAACACTGGTGGGGACCAACCCTAGACGTGATTAGATTTTTACAAAAAAAGGTCAAAGGTCAAAGTCACAAAAAAAGAAAAAAACCCCCATCTTTAACATGAGGCAAAAAAAAAGTCAAGAGATATCACACTCATTTTTTGTATGAAATTTGACACACATCTGGATCTGAACCGGATTTAAGTGTCAGATCAGTGATTCTCAAGGACCGGCTGGAGCTGGTTGTTGTGTGGAAAGTTGACTTGGGAGGTGTTGATGAGAGAGAGGCTGCTGAACTGAATGAGCTAAGGCAGGCTACTGCTCAGTGACTGTGTGCACTGCACTCACTCTAAGCCGTGCAAAGCTTATGTTGTTATGAGAAAATGTAGTATGCTGTAATAATGAGAAAAACGGCATTTTCATGGTATCGCCCATGATTACACGTATTTGGATTTATTATTTACCTCCACAAAGGACCACCTGCTCAACCTCCTCAACCCCTCCTGTTTCAAACGCTCCACCATCATTCCAGTCCCCAAGAAAACCTCCATCGGTGGACTGAACGACTACAGACCTGTCGCCGGACAACTCACACCAAACTACCCTCCTCCGATTTTTGTGAATGAAGAATGCTGTATGGACATTCTGATCGGAGGAGCAGCAGCGATATATGGGACCTGGAAAAAATGTCGGCGATGCGGAAAACGGGCTGGCGCCTTTGTGCGGTTACGACAGAGGGGAACATGGACCTCACTCCCATCTATTCAACTGACTAATCTCCGCTCCCTGGTCAACAAAATGGATGAAATTTTTCTCGTCAACAGGACTAACTCTGACTTTGCACACTCTGCTGCTTTGTGCTTCACGGAGACCTGGCTCAGCGACTCGATCGCGGACACCGTGATTCAAGTACCGGGGTTCCAGGTGCACAGAGCGGATCGTGTAAAGGAGCTGTCCGGGAAAACGAAAGGAGATGGAATCTGCTTCTACATAAATGAAGGTTGGTGCACAGATGTCAGTGCTACAGACCTCCCTACTTCACTTAAAGACTGACAAACTGAAAAATGTGTTTCCCGTTTCCATGCAAGCTTCAACCAACTCTCGCACACCTTCTGCTTGGAGTTCACCTTTTGTCATTAATGAGTTATAGATAAAACATCTCTTGATGCTAGGCTAGGACAGATCATCAATGATAGTACCTGGCGTCTATAGGTGTTTCAGGTCTTTAAACATCATACACCCTCACTCAGGCGACCCAGCCCGGACTGATCAGTCCCCAGCTCCTGCCGTAGCAGCTACCCACACATCCCTCCTCTCCATCCACAGCCAACTTGAGGCTTTCTCTACAGTGCAGCGTAAGCCCTGCAGAGACTGGTCTACAAAACCATTGCACCCAAGCTCTACAATTACTGGTATATCTCACTAAATTAGAAAATTGTGGAAAAGTCCATTTATTTCAGTAATTCAACTCAAATAGTGAAACTCGTGTATTATATACATTCAGTACACACGGACTGAAGTAGTTTAAGCCGTTGGGTTTTTTAATTGTGATGATTTTGCTCACATTTAACAAAAACCCACCAATTCACCAAGACAACCAGGCACAGGGACAGTTTCTTCCCCCAGGCTGTTGCTCTGATGAACACTTAACCAATGACCATATGATTGGACAATAAACCTTAGTGCAATACCTGTGTATGTACATTGTACAGATTATACAGACTTGTACAGGTCTCTAGTACTCTGTTTTAAGTACTCTATCTTTATCCCTATTTATCTCATCTCAAATAACATTTCTTTATCGTCTGCATTGTTACTGTCTGTTCATACTGCTTATTCTGCATTGTTTGCACTTTTTGTTTCTTGTAAATACTGCTTACTTTGTTATATTACACAGCCTAATGTTGGTTTACTGTCTGCACATTGAGAGCCGATGTACCAGAGTCAAATTCCTTGTGTGTCCAACACACCTGGCCAATAAAGCTGATTCTGATTCTGTATACTCCTGTTAACAAGTACACAGGAAAATAACACAATTCATATCATAGCACTTGTTTGTCATTAATCAATTTATGAACTTGCTGTAGTAATGTGTGCATGTTAAGAGAAAACAAGTGTGTAGCTGATTCATACTCACCAGTCGCTTTGCAAACTCTTTGTTTTCGGAAAGAAACCCATAGCCAGGATGAACCTTTACAGAAAAAAAAATCCTAAGTTTGATTTGTTTTAAAAGACAAAGATGTTTTCTGCAAATTAAAAGGTGGAAAACACATTTTGTGACTACAGGATCACACCAGACTGATTTAATGGCACTCTGGTTAGAGACAGCAGTTTACATCTGCATGCTACTGTAACTGTGTGTTGTACTGTGTTCTCTTGATGAACATGTTTAGCAGGTACACAAAATGTTATGCATTCTATCTGCTGCAGTCAAAGAATGTAATAAGAACTTTATAAATACTGACAGCTTGTGCTCCAGTTGCTCTGATGGCATCCATAATGGCATCCATGTTCAAGTAGCTCTTATTAGTAGGGGCAGGGCCAACACACAGTGCCTCATCAGCCATCTTTACATGAACCTATATATACACATACACAGAGAAGTTAAATTCAGATCACCATGTCAGCAGTACAAAGTGAGATACAGACTTTGCACGCACTGCTTGAGGACACAGAACACTGATACCACCTATTCCAACTGTCCATGTCCTGAAAACACCAACACAAGGGGTTTGAAAAGCTTTCTCAGGATTACATTAATATAATGACTTGTATAATGAGTTTCCATTACCTCCACAGGTGACAGTACATTTTGGGTTTCATCAGAAATACTCATATGTATTATAACAATATGATTTTTAAGTCAGAGGTTTAACAATATGCAGCAATAAAAATGTTCAAGATCAACCCAGACCAGAAATTCGATCTGTATAGTGCTGACCAAGATCCCTACTCCATGCAAGAAAACCTGTCGCATACAGCCATTATGGCATGTTGTTTCACTGGTTTGGAGAACTGTTCCTGGACATTTTGTTTAATGTTTGACCTTCCTCACTCAATGCAACACTTACTGAACACAGCTCTGCTGCTCTGAGGTTTAGAGAATCTGTTTTTGTTTCAGGACATACAATAGTTTTCAGTACACAAACACCCAAGCTAAACTGCCTGGGTCCCAATGAATTAATTATTACTAATTATCTTATTATTCTTCCTAGATGTTGGCAGGAATTTCCTGGGATAGACAGTGACCTCAATTACTGGTATTCAACCCTCAATTTTAGCACTGGAAGAACACAGATGGTGACTCACAGCATTAGTGTCTACATCGCTGTGAATAGCTACAGTCTGGATCCCCATCTTCTTACATGTTTTGATCACCTGATGGAAAAGCACACAACATTTACACTCTGCAATCTACAGCTTTACTCTACAGACAGTATTAATTACAATACTCTGAGTTCTTTAATTATAATACTGTGCATTTTTAATAGGTATGCATTAAAAGTAACAGAATTTTGTACATATTTTACAAAACCTGCTTCATATGTGTTTGTGTTTAAAACAGGCTTCTCCATCTGGGTAGGTGTAATAGTGTGATGGCTATCAAGCTATGCTAAGTGTATGTGTTCACATGTCCAACAGTAATCTAAAAACAGTTTCAAATGGATTTCATTTCCATGTATCAGCTAGTACGGTGGCCGACACGGTCACAACACATGCAAAAGACACAACACATGCAAGACAGAAACGCGGCATTAAACAAAACACATGCAAAAGGAAAACGCTGCAT